ATAAAAAAATATAATTTAAAAAAACTTTAATTTATTCTTAAAATGGGAACTTATATATATTACATATATGCACTTTTTCCTTCGTATATTTTTCGTGATAAAATAATATTTGGTCTGACACCTCTATTTAATGAGGCTTTTAGTGGTCAGACAAATGGGCATGTTAGAGTGTTTTAGCCAGCGTAGTCGACTTTTTTATTTTAGACTTGTATACATATCTCTCTTCTTCCTTTACTCTTATTTTGTCACCCAGGAACTGAACCGACAGAAAGAAAACTCATTGCGGTTGAGGTGGTCTTTGGTACAAAATGGCTGGAAATACCACAGCTAATAGTTCATACCCTGCGCCCATGAAGGCTACATCGAATGGGGTGTTCCAGGGTGACAATCCTCTTGATTTTGCAGTCCCTCTTGTTATCCTTCAGATATGTCTCGTGGTTGCTCTCACCCGATTTCTTGCCTTTCTTCTAAGGCCTCTACGCCAGCCTCGTGTGATCGCAGAGATTATCGTGAGTATCTTTTCTTCTTAGACATGTTTTTTAAGTTCCTTTTTTCTATGCCTAACATTTTATGTTTATTTTGCATGTGACACATGGGGTGTAACTACTTTAATGTTTATCTTGATCAACATATTGCATCTCAAGGGCATCTAATTCCACTTTTCTTTCTTTTTCTTTTTTAATGACGAGGAATCTTCTTTAGTTCTTTTCCTTTCCGATACGTATATTTTATGACTTGCTTATTACTATATATATGGGGTTCAAATTTTTAATACATTCCCGTTTTCTGTGCTCTATAGTGGGAATAATAAATGGCTAGCTTTAAAGAATTTTCAAACCTCTACAAGTACTCCAGCAACTTATTAGTTGAATTTTTAAAGAGAATATCTTTGAAAGAATGATTTTGGAGATAGAATTTATTGCGCATGATGGGGTGGGAAGGAAATCAGAATACTGCTACTTCTACCGTAATATATGATTCTTGGGACAATTGATTTCAACCAATACTTTTTTTGTTGAATAAAGATTTCAAAGTTAATTTGTTGGATGTTTGGAGCCCATGTGAAGGTGTTTGAGTAATGAGAAAGCATGAGAGACAAAATTCTTAAAAGACTCTTCAATTTTCATTGGATGATCGCAGGGAGGAATATTACTTGGCCCATCTGCTTTGGGTAGGAATACCAAGTATCTGAACGCAATCTTTCCAGCTAGAAGCCTCACAGTGTTGGATACTCTGGCCAATCTTGGTCTTGTTTTCTTTCTTTTCCTGGTAGGTTTGGAGTTAGACCTTCAATCTCTACGTCAGACTGGAAAGAAAACTCTCAGCATAGCTGTTGCAGGCATTAGCCTTCCCTTTGTGTTAGGAGTAGGCACATCATTTGCCCTTCATGCAACTATTTCTAAAAGTGGGAAGGAAGCTCCATTTCTTGTCTTCATGGGGGTTGCTCTTTCTGTTACTGCTTTCCCTGTTTTGGCTCGTATTTTGGCAGAACTCAAGCTTTTAACTACTGATGTTGGCCGAATAGCAATGTCAGCAGCAGCTGTCAATGATATGGTTGCGTGGATTCTGCTTGCTCTTGCAATTGCCCTGTCAGGAACTGGTCATTCCCCCCTCGTATCATTGTGGGTGCTTTTATGTGGTTCTGGGTTTGTCCTCTGTTGCATATTTATTGTTCCTCCTACATTCAAATGGATGGCTGACCGTTGCCCTGAGGGAGAACCAGTTGAAGAACTGTATGTTTGTGCCACTTTAGCAGCTGTTTTGGCGGTGGCTTTTGTTACTGATGCCATCGGAATTCATCCCGTTTTTGGTGCATTTGTGATTGGAGTTCTTGTCCCCAAGGAAGGGCGATTTGCTGTTGCTCTCGTGGAAAAGGTTGAAGATCTTGTGTCTGGTATTTGCCTACCCCTCTACTTCGTCTCCACTGGATTGAAGACAAATATAGCTACAATTCAAGGGGCTCGATCTTGGGCTCTCCTTGTTCTGGTCATAACTACTGCATGTTTTGGAAAAATGGTTGGCACAGTAACCGCTTCCCTCTTTTGTAGAGTGCCATTTCAGGAGGCTCTAGCCCTTGGATTCCTGATGAATAGTAAAGGCTTGGCGGAGCTCATTGTCCTAAATATTGGCAAAGACAAAAAAGTAAAACAACTTAGTTTTTGGCTGTTTTCAGATTAAAGTTTTGCATGTTATTTCTACTTCAATATGTTATAAGGTTCACAGCTAATCATTTTAGCCATTTGATATTATTACAGGTATTGAATGATCAAACATTTGCTATAATGGTTTTGATGGCTATCTTCACAACTTTCATCACAACACCCCTTGTGATGGCAGTATATAAGCCAGCTAAAAGGAGGAGTGCAGTTGTTTACAAGTACAAAACAATTGAAAGGAAAGATACAAATACCCAGCTTCGAATCTTGGCCTGCTTCCACAGCGCAAGAAACATCCCCACCCTGATTAATCTAATTGAGGCTTCACGTGGAACTGATAAGAGGAAACGACTCTGCGTCTATGCTATGCATCTCATGGAGCTCTCTGAGAGGTCATCTGCAATTCTCATGGTTCACAAGGCAAGAAAGAATGGGCTACCCTTCTGGAATAAGGGGGAGCAGTCAGATGGTGATCAAGTTGTTGTTGCTTTTGAAGCTTTCCGGCAGCTAAGCAGGGTCTCTGTCCGCCCAATGACTGCGATATCACCGATGTCCACCATACATGAGGATATATGTGACAGTGCAGAAAGTAAAAGGGTAGCAATGATCATTCTCCCATATCACAAGCACCAGAGGTTGGATGGAGCATTGGAAACTACTCGAACTGAGTTCCGTTGGGTCAATAAGAGGGTTCTTGAGCATGCACCGTGCTCAGTTGGTATCTTGGTTGACCGTGGCCTTGGTGGAACCACCCATGTATCTGCAAGCAATGTTTCTTCCACCATAACAGTACTCTTCTTTGGCGGACGTGATGATCACGAAGCCATTGCTTATGGTGCACGCATGGCGGAGCACCCTGGTGTCAGGCTAACTGTAATTCGCTTCCGGCAATCTCCTGAAATTTTAGGGGAGATAATAAATGAAGAGTCCGAACCTTCAACACGATCAATGGACGATCAAATTCTAGGGGAACTCAAGAAGAAAATTTCGAGTGCAAGCCCAATCAAATACGAAGAGAGAATAGTGAAAAATGCAGCAGATATTATCGAAACAGCACGAGAATTCAGCCAATGCAATCTTTTCCTGGTGGGAAGAACGCCTAAGGGTCAGGTAGTTGCAAAATTGAATGGCAAGAATGAGGGCAGTGAATTAGGGCCCGTAGGCAGCCTGTTGACATCTCCTGAATTCTCAACTTCAGCATCAGTTTTGGTGGTACAGCAGTATAACAACACTTCTCCTCTCCCTCCATCAACTTCCATAAATGTGGCTCCTCTCCCTCCATCAATGGTAGAGGAGGAAGAAGAATCAATTTGATTAGCTTCACTCCGCTGTGGAATGTACAGAAACAGCACACCATGTTGTAGCCAGCTTCAGTTGATTTCGTTAAAATTCTGCCTGGAATAAAATGCTTCCATTTAGTTTAGCTGTTGTCTCATGTAAAATACAGGATGAAATAAATGCATAGTTTTTCCAAAGTTTCTCATGTTGTAGTATTGTTTCTTTAATTTACTTCCCTTTTCTTTTTTTTTTTTTTGGTTACCAAATTAAAGCCTAATAAAGTTTATGTGAAATGAAGTTAGTGAGAAATGCAGAAGACACTATTGAAATAGCCCAAAAATTCAGCCAATGCAATCTTTTCTTGCTGGGAAGAACACCTGAGGCAGCTTGTTGTTGACATCTTCTGAATTCTCAACTTCATCCACAGTTCTGGTACTGGTGCATGTTGCGGCATAACAATAATTCTCCTCCTCCAGCAATATCTCCATAAAAGGTGGCAGAGGTCCCAGAGGAATAAGAATCTGCTCTTTTCTTTTTTTTTTTCTCTTCACTCTGCCTTTGAATGAAAGGCTTTCATCTAACATACATCAAACAAGCAAACCAAAAAAAAAAAAAGAAAAAGGAAAAAAAGCAATGGCATGGCATTTTCGTAGGGTTTTTTTTTTTTTAATAAAAAAGAGCAAAAAAAATATTCTTTACCAAATCAAAGCTTTATTACTTCATTCAAAACTATTGAATCCACAAAAAACCCCAAATCAAGCAATCTAACTGAACTAAAATCATTCCCTTTTAATAATTATTAATT